AAATCACAGTCTCGCATAATGGTAGATATCTCAAAACCAAACTCCCTGCTGTTGAGTCGGCGCTGTCTCACAGCGGTGACCACCTCCTCCCAACGCGTGTAGCCGTGCACTGGAGTAGAAAGCCCGGTCTTTCTCCCTCACTCGGAGGGACTGCTGGTGGCTTTGAACTGCCAACCATGTGGTTCGCAATCCAACGTGAGACCATGACTCCACCCACTTAGGTTAAAAATGTAATGTCTTGTTTGATTTCTCTTTTGAGCCATCTGAAAGTTGGTTCTGTTTTTTTGTTTTATGGAGGAGAGCTCTGTGTGGACGGTGTCTCTGGTGAAGCCCCTCTGACCACGGACTGGGCATGGGAACAGCCTCCCGACCACGGACTGTGCGTTGGGAAGCGGATGACGGCAGAGGCCGGTCCGTTAAAATGGGACATCCTCTCATTCGCGCTCCCTCTTGTTTCTACTGAGGCTTTCTGCTTCACTTCGTCGCTGTTTGTGTGTGTTTCTCAGGAGAGGAGATCCAGGGCACGTGGGGCTGGATTAGTGGCTCCCTGGGGGTCTGGCAGGGGGTTGGGGGAAGTGGGGAGCTCCCACTGAGGAACACAGGAAAGAAGAGAATGTATTAAAGTTGTTCGTAGTGGTGATTGTATCACTCTTCCTTGTACGAGTGAAGGATTGAATTGTAAGACATGTAGCTTATGTGCCAATCAAACGGCTTAAAATTTAAAAAAGAAAAAGTGTTATAGTCTCAGAAACTCACAGAGGCAGTTCTGCCCTGGTCGCTGGGGTGGCTGTGAGCCGGCGCCAACTTTTGATGGCAGTGCGCTAGGTTTTAGTTTGGAGATCCACGCCAGCGCTGAGATGCTTCCACCGCCACTGGATCCATGGGACTTTCCACCCACTGGCCTGTGATCTTCCTGCACTCGGCGCGAGAGTCCGTAGAGCAGTTCATTGATTGATATCACGCCTACGGGCAGAGGTCAGACTTATGGACTGGATCTGGACTGTAATGTTCAATACACAATGACTTGGATATGAAGCGCTTTCTCTTGCTTAGATGAGGGTGTCTGGATTTCTTCCTCTCGCCAACCTGGACTCACGCAACCTCCATTTGTGTTGTTGACAAAAGTATTTGCAACCAAGAAGTGCAAAATTCTGTCACGAAAATCACCAGCTTCATTTCTGTCACCAAAGCCATGTTTTCCAACCACCATTCCTTCCTTTTCATTGGCGACATTTCCATTCCAATGGCCAATAATTATCAATGGATCTGGGCTGCATGTGTGATCAATTTCAGACCAAAGAAATGGATAAACCCCAACCAAGCTCACCACCTTTGAGTCAATGCCGACCCACCCACAGTGACTATAGGACAGGGTAGAACTGCCCCTGCAAGTTTCTGAGACTATAACCCTTTGTTTTTTTAATATGGTATCAGGTTTTTAATGAGCCTTCTTTTTCTCTGAAGATATCCCTCACCAAGGGCTGATTCAACATGGGCTAGTTATTCTTGTTTGTGAAACTGTTGAAAGGGTGCACCAATCAGTTATACGTGTTTCTATGTGTGTCATTCACGTCATTAGTTAACATTCTTTTTGTTTTAATCATTTTATTGGGGGCTCGTACAACTCTTATCACAATCCCTACAACCATCCATCGTGCCAAGCACACTTGTACATTTGTTGCCATCATCATTCTCAAAATATTTCCTTTCTACTTGAGCCCTTGGTATCAACTCCTTATTTTTGCCCCTCCCTCCCCACTCCTCCCCACCTCATGAACCCTTGATAATTTATAACTTATTATTATTTTGTCATATCTTACACTGTCCGACGTCTCCCTTCACCCATGTTTCTGTTGTCCATCCCCCAGGGAGGAGGTTATATGTAGATCCTTGTAATCGGTTCCCCCTT